TATAAATAACGAATTCTAAGGCAACGCAAACATTAAGGTTAAGAGGCTGAGCTCGTAGATGATGATAAATAACATAGTTATGTATATTACATTTCTGACTGTATATCCCTGTAATTATTACACACTGTAGCTTTAATATCTTCAAATCCTCGCTGCACAAACGAAAATTTTTGCTGAACAAACCAGCACAAACGTTTGACACTAATTTTGTCTGATTCGAAGAAGGTGGGGGGGCCAACTTCACTCGGGTATTTGCAAACCTACCAAAAGATGACTAACAACCTAATCATTCATCAGAGAAGCATTCTTAATAACTCTGGAGAAGCTGCAGATTCTCAACTCGGTGGAAATTAACTGTTGCAGTGTCCTGAAGGGCTCTTCTATGTATAGTATTATTACCACCCCAATGTTAAGCATAGTGGTGTCTGTGTCATGCTGTGGTGATACTTTTCTTCAGCAGATGTAGGGAAGATGGAGTAGATGGCATGATGGCCAACACTGGAGGAAAACTGATCAAAGAAAAAGGTAAACATTTGTTTAAATGGCACGATCATTGACTTTTTTGGCATATTCTTTAAATTTACAGTAGAATACACTGAAAGTTTGTGGTTGACACGTGACAAGAAATGAGAATGCTTAAGAATCATGGCGAAGCCTGTGACTAAAGATGGCGTGGAACATTCAGCAAGCCGTTAGCAAGAAAACAGAAATTTCATTCGGGAACCTAGAAAATAAGCAGCATGATGCTAATAACGTCTTTTTTTTTTTTTTTGTGGGAAATATTGACAGGAATTTACCAGGTAAGTAGAAAAACAAATCTTACATTCAGTAGAAGTCCAACAATCCTAAGAGTCCCTTGCCGGTCTTAAACAGCAGCAAAAATAGTTTTACAAAAAGCATCAAAGACGGGAGCAGAAAAGGGAATATAAAGTCTCAAAAGTTTCACTGAAGCCTGGAAAGTTTTTCTTTTTTTTTCTATTATAAAATCCTTATTTCCGCCCATTCCGACTGAACAGGCCGGGTCCATCGCACTCGCCTCCATTAAGTAGAAATCGGAGCAGATGCTCTGAAGGTT